TTATCACAATTCTCATAGCATATCGCAACATATTTAAAATTGCAATAATGTTGTATCGTGATAACACTGTATCGCGCCCCCTCTGTTGAGTCCAACCCCTACTAGGTATCGGCCAATATTCACCTTGTTGACTGCAATCAGCCTATAGGTAAATAAGATGACATTCACCGATGGCAGTGGTCGATATTTTTCTGTTATGTCACATTAATTTTATAGACATTAGAAAGCAGCACTTGAAACTAAAGGCATTTCGATGCGCTTTGGACAATAGAACGTGTGTTGGACGAACAGAGTTCTTTGTGGAATAGAGTCGAGACAAAAGGATTAGGGATGCACCGATATGGATTTTTTCAACCAGTACCGATAACCGATAATTACCTGCTTCTCTTGGCCGATAACCGATAATTTCACATTTCTGTATTTTAAAAATAAGGGTATAACCTGTAGTTTATGTACATCTGATGGTAAGAAAGGCTAACGTAGTGAGAAAATATGGGGATCAGACCCTTGGTGCAATATTATAGCAGATAAATATCGGCGCTATTTATCTGCTGTAATTTTAGTTATTGGAATAATGCATAATAATTAAAATGTCCTATTATTGGGCCCGATATATATCATGCATCCCTAGAAAGGACGCAGTAAACTCGCTATTAATGTATCAAGGGACTAATAATTGGGGATGCACCGAATATTTGGTAACCGAATATATTCGGCCGAATATTGCAAAAAAACACACATTCGGTATTCGGTAGAATAAGTTAAAAGCAAGGCCGAATAATAGCGGCGTGTTTTGATAATGCAATGAAACAGCGTGCCGTGACGCGCGGAGTAAAATGTCGTCAGTGTGGCGATCCGTCCCTCACTGCACTCGCATTTGCGACTAAAAATAGTTTTGAGTGAGCAAAATAGGCTTAAATCATTCAGCACGCTGTGCGAGCAGCCTACAGATTTCAACCAGCAGCAGAAACGAAAGGCGATTGTGGGTTGAACGGGGGTCACAGACACAGACAGTAATATATTCCTGTCAAATACGGTGGCCATCAGCTTATCGGCGACGGACAAGTCGGCTCCAATAATATCCTCTTCTTGGTGTGTGGACTGCCCAGAAGTACCTGAACAGCCGAGCCAGCTGAACACAGGTATGTGACGTGTCAGAGGAGAAACGAGCTGTTCACGGCCCACAAACCTCACTGCACTTTAGGGACTGTTCTTTACTTATGAAGAGGAGGAGGGTGGCTGGTTGATCCCCCCTATTTTCATCACTCATTGATGCTGTTTTTGAAGTATGAATAAGTCAATAAGTAATTTATTCCATTGAAATATCATTGATGTATTATAGAAAAGTGATTTATCTTTTTATAAATGACAAAAGGCACATCTGCCTCATTTTCGTTGTGGTATCACTACTCAGAACCATATTTTCATTGGTATCGTACAGTGGGATCCAATTTTGGTACCGTGACAACACTAATCTGGAGGGGGTTCATCTGCAAAAACTAATGAAAAACTAAACAACGATATTCGGTATTCGGTACTCGGTATTCGGTATTCGGCCAAGCGTTTAATATTATTCAGCTTCGGCTTTGGCCACAAATGTTCATTTCGGTGCATCCCTACTAATAATACTACATAGTGAACAACAAGTCAGTGACAAAATTGGCAAAAAGGGGGGCTAGTTAAAGTTGGCTGTCTTGTGAAATGTAGTTTTTGGTGAAAACTTGAATAAGAGCAAATGTTTGAAGGAGACATTTGTTGATGTTTTAACAACAATATAAAATTGAAGAGGGGATTATGATATATTAGTAAAAAGGCTTTTGAAGCAGTTATTTGCAATTTTTTTTACATGTGAAAGAAGGTTGTTTTACAGGTTGGTTCATAAATGTATGATTGAATTTATGCTAATTCATTTAATTTCATTTGTGCTGCTCATGTCCATATGCATCAATCATAGTCACAATCAAAAAAATTCTAATACACCTTCCATGACTGAAAAGCAGCAGGGAGCATCTTATTTTACCTGCCCCTCCCTCAAAACACAAATAATTGTAAGAAATAGATGGTCTGTTACATACAGTTAATAACCAATACCTACAGTTACATCAGAAAGATAAATGAACAAGAATCAGAAGCCATATACAATGTCGCTCAACGAGGGAACAGCTTCTGCACGACAGCTCCATATAGTCCAATAGCTCATTTTTTAAACATTTCAGTAAACTGAAAAATATTAACACAACCCTTTAAATCATCCTGTAAAGAATTCCACAGTTTAACACCCACCACCGAAATACACTGTTTAAATATAGTCCATGCAAACTGGTGCTTAAAGTCAATTTTCTTCTATGCTCGTCGTCCTCTGAAATAAGACCAAACAGCTTTTGTAAATATTCTGGTAACACTCAAAGATGGTGTAGTGAATAAGCCATCACTTCAGAGAGTTTTCTTATTACCCCTGACTGTTAAGAGGTGTTCTCAATCTGTCTTAATCTCTGTCTAATTAGTTGGAGGATGTGTACCTCGTCGTAATGAGCCGGGTCAGAGTGCCATGACCTGGTCAAATGGCTGTGTGGTGGTGATAAGCAACTAAGCGCTACCGAACTGCCGTCTCATTTGAAAAAAGGAAGTCTCAAATGTGTTTCAAAGCGTTGGATAAGGCTGCGAACCTGCAGTGAGTTTTGACCTGCAGAGGCAGCTTGAAGTGAGAACAGACAGAGAGAATATTTACTACATTTGTTATGTGTGTGTGTGTCATTTTATTGTTTACCGTGTCATTACTGTAAGAGTTATTAGGCCTCCTCTGTCTTTGAGAATTATTAACCTTTGTATATGTTGCACTGAGGTAGCTTGGTCTGAAAATAGGGAACTGCATCACTGTGTATTTACAACTTGATCAAATTTACTTTCAAGGAGGTGACACACTCATAAGCCACTTCAGTAAAGGGTGTTAATGTAAGCTTATTACACACAGATTGAAAACAAAATGCTTCAGTAGCTCACACAGACGCAGCTTCTCCAACGCTGCAAGGATTACACAGTCTCTGTTTGGCTGATTAACTGTAGGAAACAATGAAAATGTGAGTATTTACTGAACTTAATGTCTCCCTTTAATCTGTTACTCAACGATTGGAACTTCAGTCAGCTCTTACAAGCAGTGAGACAACAACCGTGCTTTCAGTGAGAGGCTTGCTAATTTGTATAATGTGTAAGGAGTTTTGGAGGTGAAGATTATATGAGGAAAGTGTTGTAGCTTTACACTCTCAGGCTTTACTCTCAAAGACAGTCGGAGCAGCTGAGACTGTATTAATATTCCTAATGTATCTGAACCATAGACCATGAAATAAAGGCTTGTCTAACTTTGCTCAGTTTAGTTTTCTATTCTGTCCTGGATCTTCGTCTGAGATGATAATCTTAAAAGGTGCACTATGCAGGATTGGTGGTTACTGTTTGTAAACATGCTCGCCAGGAAAGTGAAAGTAAAAGCCAACCCCGGATCCACTCCTGTTTGGCATCCTGCCTCGCTATATTTGTGGGGGGTTTTGGCGGTGTCTCTTGGATGCCTGCTGCTTACGGTCTGGCACCTGGCTGCTATGTTTTTATAAAGCCCTGACCTCACCTGAGCGCTGTGCATGGGGGTACACCATGAACGTCCCAAACAGAGTAAAAAGAGGAAAATGAGAAAATACAGCGAGAGTCAACAGTTCCAGAGAGTCAACAGAGAGTCTTTGCTGAAAAATACCTTGGAATATCCTGCATCTTTAAAAAGGGCCCTCACTTTTCTTTTTGTCTTCATTTGCATGCTGTGCTTTCAAACAAGTCTGTAACCAATTTCAGCAATATGTACACGCCTGCTGAGGAGCACAAAGCAGTGGGAATGTATTTGAATCAGCATTTTTTAATGTATGAGTAGTGAGCACATCTGCAATCACTTAAATAATGTAGTACTGTATGGTCTGTCTTTGATTTACCCCTGTCTCTGTCTTTCTTGCTCTCCCTCCGGGTCAGTCCTGTCTCTTCGTAATTTAGCTGTCAGCTAACTGTTAATTGCAATATGCGGCATGTTAAAGAGACGTCGGCGCTCCGGGTCTCATACTTGTGGTAATCACACGCATGTACAGACTGAACTAGTAGAACATATCTCATATAGAATAAGATAGGGACATAAGCTCTGTGTGCCTGAGAAAACTTTTACTCGTGGTTCAGACCATGTTGTTTTACTTTATCATAAACATAATGAAATAACTGTCTCTTTTTTAGTGTAAGATGTCAGATGGAAGGGATGTGTAGGGTTAAAAATTCTGGTTGACTGAATGACAAATTCAGCTTCTCTTTCTGTGACCTTTCACATCCTTTATTCTTGTCTAGTACCGATGTACAAAAAGCAGAACTGCACCTCTGATAGGAGTCTTTAGTATGCTAGGTATTGTCAGAGTTTCTAACCACATAATACCTATGGAAAAAAATTGTAAATTAGTTTATGTTCTGCTTTTGAAATGATTTCACCTCACGAACTTCACCGAAAGATCGTCTGGCAGCAACAGGGTTTTGTTTACACATGAATTACTAATGCCTGAGTATCAGAAATCTCTCATTTGCTACAGAAGCATCTGCAGCAGCAACTTGTTTTGACTCATTCAGCGTGGGAAATATGATCCATTAATGTGAGATTTCTCACCTCAAACAGGCTGTACACTGGAGCTACTCTAATTTATTTATTTAAATGTATAAAATGATTATTCGCTAACCTTGTAAGCACTTGTTTAGAAGGTTGGTGAATATGAGCAGTCGCTTTATTTAAGATATCCTACCTGCCACATTAGAGAACATATTGCATATTAGAAGTTGTGAATGTCACAATTACAGATGTCTCATCATTTCCCAACAACAGATTTTAAAGGTCTAATCTTGTTCGGCTAGATTTTTGTCTTGGTACATATTGAAATTCAGTATGCTGATGCATGTTATATCTGTTTAATGTTTTTGTTTTTCTGTTCCCTCAGATCGATCCACTGCCTCAGCTTCTAGATGGGTGAATCCGGCTCACGCCGCTCCACCCTCGTGTCCCGCCTGCCAATCTTCCGCCGCAGCAGCAGTAAGAGGCAGGACTCTCTCCCGTCCTCTCCCTCTTCAGGCGGACAGGGCAATGGCGTCCACACCTCTTCACCCTCTAGCACCAACTCCAGTTCTGGCAGCACTGGGAAACGCCGGAGCCTCTTCCGCACTCCGTCCCTCAGTTTCTCAGCTAAACGGAATAGTGATCCACGTGTTCAGCCTATCAACCTTAACCTCACACCCCCGCTGACCCAGAGCACTGACGCGAACGGAAATAACCAGCAGACGATAACGACGTCATCGTCGACAGGCTTCAGTGAAGGCGGTGGACGCCCCAAGTCACGCCACTCGTTCGGGTTTGGCAGCCACAAGCAAAAGAAAATCACACGCTCTCAGACTGAGGATTTTGAAAAGGCGTCTTCTTCCTCCTCCACAGCCAATCGTAATGTATTTATAAACTGTATCAGTGGCTCAGGGGCCAATGAGGGCGACGACTCCGGGTTCCTCGATGACTACAGTGGTGGCAGCAATAACAACAAACGGTCGTCACGGAAGAAGCAGCTGCTGCCCAAATCTTTCTCAGCTCACCACCGCTTTTCCCGCACCTCTGATCACCACAGACCTCCAGAAGTGAATCTGGAGCCTCCGAGCTCTACCACCATCACTCCTGGCGCAGGAGGGCTCACCCCGGGGTCATGGCCAGGCGAGCTGCTTGGTGCCGGCGGTGAGAGCTCACTCCAGTCCCCTATGATATCAGAGGACCGAACCACTGCCATCACTCCTTCAGAGTTCATCCCCATCACGGAGGATTCTGTATCTGAGGTGGATGCTCTGCCAGCTCCCAGCCCTGGATCTGGTTTAACCCCAGGACCTGTCTCTGTGCCTGGGCTGGCTGTTGACACTGCTCCACCTGAACCTCCACCTGCTCCAGAGAACTTCAGCGTGGCTGTCTCTACCTCCCAGGTATGTGCTCATTTTACACTCTTTTCTCTGTCTTTCTAAATCAACTGTGGTGCTTGGGAATCCAATATGTTAATCAGTGTTTTTCATGTTAAAAAGTTCCCTGTAATCATGATAAAAAAGCAACTTGACGAGTAGTTTGACGATAATGCTAAATTATCTGAACAATAAATCCTGCTTGCAAACATACAAACAGGAATGTATTTGTAAAATGATTGCACTATTAGTGTCTGAGGAATAGACAGCACAACCACAGGTGCCCTTGGACGTCAAGAACAAAAACTATAAAGGAGGAATATTTATGACCACTGTGGGGAATCTGTGAAATGCGGCATAAAAATTGAGCACCGGGCATGAAAAGTCTGTTTATTGAAAGAGCTAAGGCATGAGAAAGAATACCCACGCATGTCTGAGAACTGCCCTCCACATTTCACACCTTTGTGCTTACAACTTTTCCTCCTTCAAAGAATTTATTCTAGTTTATTTCCTGGTGGAGAGGGGAACTCCAGACAAGAAACCATTTACCCAGTGTAACAGCTGCAAAGACAAAGTCCTGAGTCTGCACGTAGGCCATTCAGTAGTAAATACAGTGTGACTGTGCTATCAAAACATGCACACTTTGATGCCTAAGGACACACATATTCACCCACTTAATGCCTACTAAAATGGGTTCTCCTCTCTGTAAACTTGTTGCCTCGTTGAAGTTCAATTCTACACTCAATGAAATGTTCTCTTCTCAGGTTTTCTTCACTCCGGCCCAGTCCAGCGCTGAGAAACCTCTACTCCCCGACACCAGCACAGCAAACAACACAGACTATGAGACTGCCATTTCCCTCTCAGAGCCTGAGACAGCCGTACCCTGCCTACCTCTGCGGGAACAATCACTGGAAGAGAGGAAGGAGAGGGAGGAGGAGAGAAAGGAAGCGAGGGCCGAGGTGTCACCAGAGGAGAGGAAGAAGGTGGCGGAGGAGAGGAAGACAGGATACCACACAGAGACCACAAGTGAGAGCGAGGCATGTGTGGTACGCAGCGAGGGCTGCCACTCTAACCCCGAACAGTCAGAAAGGAGGGCGAGAAACACGCGCTCTATTCAAGAAAGAGGAAGCTTCTGCGGCTGCCACGAACCGAGGTCCTCTCATCTGAGGAAACCACACGCAGGTATGAAACTCATGCAAACACTGGTAGGTAAATCACAGATTTACATGCGCAGCCACACACACACACACAGATATCATATACAAGTGCACAATGGGTGTTAAAAGCCCAGGTTGATCCCATATGATAACTGAGGGTTCTTTCACACCTAACCACTTAAACAGACTCTGGTCCCTTCACTAGGTTATTGTGGTTTAGTTTGACTGGTGTGAAAGCTGTCAGTTGAACCCTGTTGCGGACTAAACAGCTGCTTTCAAGCGGACTCTGGTGCGGTATGTTTTTTGTTGTGAGAGCAAATGAACCAACCTCAGGGTTTTATGATGGCAGATATGTGATTTTAGCATGATTTCAAAAGCTAAACCACCACAAATAAATCCATCTGCTTATCATGAAATCGGCCTTTGATCTCATTATTGATCTGTCTAAGGCCATGACCTATTTATGCAAATCTTTTGGTAACCATCAGCGTGGGTATTTTTCCTCTTTGAAAAACTGTTAAAACTGCTGTGATTGTATCCGACTCTGTGTAATTCAGTCCATTAAGTGTGTAACAGCGATCTGTATAAGACACCTACTTTTTGTCCAGGTTCTACCTGTAAGTCATTATTCATAAAATGCGGTCATTTTAACAACAAGAAAATTACCATATTTAATAGTGTCATAATACTAATAATGCTTATAATCAGTTACCTAAATACACACATCAGAAGCATTAAGGTGCTGCATAAACCTCTGTCAGTCACAGCAGGATTTAATTTCCCCAAGTGAGTCCTGATGATACACGAAGAATATAGCCAAAACGGTCCAATCAAGGAGTTTCTTGTCAGCCTGTATAACTTAGTCATCTTGGTTTGGCAATATGGAACAGCAACTGTACCAGAACTAAAATGCAGCAGTGTATGGTTTTTTTCCTTTGGTCTGGACCAAATGAACTGAACTACAGGTGTGAAAGCGCCCCAGGACACAAACTTTGCTTCCATACTTGTGTGACATTCTTTTGTGATGAGGACTGCATGGAATTCTTGAAGAGGTATGTTATCTCAAAGGCAGCAGCAGTAATGACTTTTTGCTATGCACTGATGATGTCTGCGGGCATATACACTCACCAGCCACTTTATTAGGTACACCTGTTCAACTGCTCCTTAACACATGGCAGCAGCTCAGTGCATTTAGGCATGTAGACATGGTCTAGACGACCTGCTGAAGTTCAAACCGAGCATCAGAATGGGGAAGAAAGGTGATTTAATTGACTTTGAATGTGGCATGGTTGTTGGTGCCAGGCGGGCTGGTCTGAGTATTTCACAAACTGCTGATCTACTGGGATTTTCACACACAACCATCTCTAGGGTTTACAGAAGATGGTCCCAAAAAGAGAAAATATCCAGTGAGCAGCAGTTCTCTGGGTGAAAATGCTTTGTCGATGCCAGAGGTCAGAGGAGAATGGCCAGACTGGTTCAAGATGATAGAAAGGCAACAGTGACTTAATTAACCACTCGTTGGAACCAAGGTCTGCAGAAGACCATCTCTGAACCAACAACACCCTAAATCTTGAAGCTACAGCAGCAGAAGACCACACCAGGTGCCATTTTTGTCAGCTGAGAACAAGGAACTAAGGCTACAATTCACACAGGCTCACCAAAACTGGACAATAGAAGATTGGAAAAACGTTGCCTGGTCTGATGAGTCTCTATTACTGCTGCGACATTCAGATGTTAGGGTCAGAATTTGGTGTAAACAACATGAAAGCATGGATCCATCCTGCCTTGTATCAACGGTTCAGGCTGGTGCTGGTGGTGTAATGGTGTGGGGGATATTTTCTTGGCACACATTGGACCCCTTAGTACCAACTGAGCATGGTTTAAACACCACAGCCTACCTGAGTATTGTTGCTGACCGTGTCCATCCCTTTATGACCACAGTGTACCCATCTTCTGATGGCTACTTCCAGCAGGATAACGCACCATGTCACAAAGCTCAAATCATCTCAAACTGGTTTCTTGAACATGACAATGAGTTCACTGTACTCCAATGGCCTCCACAGTCACCAGATCTCAGTCCAATAGAGCACCTTTGGGATGTGGTGGAACGGGAGATTCACATCATGGATGTACAGCTGACAAATCTGCAGCAACTGTGTGATGCTATCATGTCAGTATGGACCAAAATCTCTGATCAAAATCTCTCTCTCTGATGGTAAACATTTATTATGTGGTTACAGAGATTTGGCGCTCCTGCTCCTTTGGTGGTTTTATTACCTCCTTATGCATGACTGAACACGTGAACGAGTGTGAACAACATAGCCAATAAAAATCTTTAGGAGTTAATTAGCCTCTCAAAGTGATTTCCCCAAGAAACCGGTAAGTGGAGGTGAGGCAAACCGGGTTACTCATAATCGTAAGCGCTCTCATACTCACGTCTTACTGAGGTTGTTTCCACTTGATGATTGAAAGCTACCAGATGAGTAGTATTGACAACATAATGTTTTCCCCAACTTCCAAATTCTTCGGTAAATCAAAGTTCTGACAAAAAATGAGGATGTTTCCAAACATTACGAGACATTGCACAGCTTGAAAACTGAACTGATTCAAAACTCTTGTAGCTGTCACTCCGAGCAGTAACTCAGACAGTGGATCTGAAAACATGCCCTCAGTCTAATAAATCATTGGCAGTTGTGGGTTGACGGTTGTGAAACAGTTGTGCGTCATACTGACAATTTACTCTTTAACCAAAGATGATTTGTTACTATCCTCCTCGCTTCTTCCTCAGCTGCTGTAACATATTGCAGAGGAGGCTTCTCAAGCCGTCCCTGGTAACAAAAACATGAATAATTTCTCTCTAAATGTGAAGCTCATTTCTATGTTTCCCAACACTTGTTTACTTCATGTCAGACTTTGATCAGACACTGGAAAAACATGATTTTCTGCCTGAGTTTATTACCCTTTCAGGAATAGAGATAGATCATTTCAACTCATAAGGAGTGTTGGCAAATTTAGGGTTTCACGAGGGCTAACTAACCGTGTAATTAGGAATCAGAGTTTAGTTGGTGCAACTGATAATTGCCTTTTGCCGATACTGAAATGCCACTTTATTAATGCTCTGCTTGTAGTTGAAGCTGTGACGGCGTTAATAAGAGATGTGGAAACTAATGAATATCATCAAGATTTAATCATGATCAAAATGTCTTAGTCAGAGTAGTCAACAAAATAATTAGGACTACAATTTCAATTAGAAATGTGGATGTTTGTACACAATCCAGCACAAATACTGCTGTAGGAAGTGTGTGAGTTATAGTTGATAGTTTGACACTCTGTCATCTCTGTTACGTAAGAAACTCTGGACGAGCTGACTGATGTAACTGTACAATGTGTGCAGTTGTGCATTTTAAAGTTGGTGTGATTGTTGGATCATTCGCCAGCAGTGTGTGCTTAGTGTGGTATCAATGGCCTATTGTACAATACTCCAGTTGGTCCAGAACCCTCTCCATAGATCATACCACTCCTGTTCTCCAGCAGCTTCACTGGTTTCCTGTTAAATGTCACATGGATTTCAAGAGTCTGCTTCTCACCTTTGAGGCCCTTCATATTCAAGCCCCTTCCTACCTGTCTGAACTCCTTCATATCTACACACCTTCACGTACACTTAGATCCTCTTCTGCAGTCCAATCCACATCACCATCTGCCCACTTGACCACTATGGCTTCTATGGAGCCCTCAACTGTTCTGCCGCCCGCCTCTGGAACTGTCTCCCCCACGACATTCGCAATATTGACCCCCTTTCCACCTTCAAATCTTGTCTCTTGTAAGGTGTCCTTGAGTGCTTTGAAAGACGCCTATAAATGAAATGCATTGTTATTATTATTGTTATTATGCATACATACACATACTACAATTCATGCTCGCAGGATAATAGCTGAATATTGATTACGCTTGGTGAATGTTTAGCTTTCAGGCAGTGGGAACTACAAACAGACTACAGTGATAACAGTGAGCTTGTCTGTTTTACCCCCCAAAAAATACATAATTTGACTATCAAACAAACAGTGTCATAGGTAGGGTCGGGCACCGAGAACCATTTCCAAATTAGAACTGGTTCCAAAATTCAGATTTCAAAGGAATCATTAAGAAATTTAAGTTTCCATTCTGCTTATTGGCTCCTAAACAGCTACACATTCTTTCTGGACCGGACAACGCTACACAAAGCAATACATTGTGTTTTTGTTTTGTCTCTGTACCGTGGAAAGATCAATAAAAGATGTGCACCATTGACTGCAGGTTTTCTTCTCTGCTCCCATTGCCAACATCTGTTTGCTGTCAGCGCAGCTATCATCTCTATCTCGCTCAAGCACACAATCGCCACACGCGCACACACACACACACACACACACACACACACACAGTACTCACTGAGCTATACTCTTTATAACACTAGTCATCATTCTCAGACCAATTGTATATTTTCCTCCCAAGTTGCAGTGAATGTTCTATTATGTTTCAGTTCGTTTGTTTATTTTGACCACAGTTTCATCTGTGAAGCAAACAAGCCCGCCTGTGTCTTTCTGCGCACATTCCTGTGAGTTGGGACAGACACGGGCAGAGCAGAGTGAAGTTTTGGACAGTAGAGCCAGCGTAGTAACTTCACTCATGGTCCTCATGCATTTATATAAAAGAAAAATATTGTCCGTGGCTCAGTAGGTAGAGTGGTCGTCCACCAATCAGAAGGTTGGTGTTGGTGGTTCGATCCCTGGCCCCTGTAGGCTACATGTCAAAGTGTCCTTGGGCAAGATACTTAACCCCAAGTTGCCCCTGATGGCTGTTATTTAAATAACTTTTTCTTCTGTGAAATAATGTTGTGACCTGTTTTGAACCCACCCCTCAAAGAATCAGGATCAAGAATCGTCAAAATCCAAATGATCCAGCTCTCACCACAGGCCTCTATTGTGTGGGCCTCCGTGTCTGATTTTCCTGTCTTGTTGAAATTGTCTGATAGTCAAGTAAAATGGTTAGAGACGTAAGGAGACATGGTAATCATGGGTCTTCATCAGTGTTTTGTTGCTCAGTACGAAGCCAAAAAACTGCAAATATAATTTTTTGTCAGAGAGTGATTTCACAAGAACAAAAACAAGACATGCAGACACACAGGAGAAACTTTGTGTGTATGTGGTTTTGTGCATGTGTCAGTGTATGTGTGGCAGAGAGAGAAAGAGGAAGAGATAGTAGTCGGCGTTGAGTGTTGTTTTTTAAAAAATGTTGTGTAACCTCTCGCTCAATGGGATGACGTGGCGATATTTGTTTTGAAAATTGAGCAATTATAGCAATCTTCTGTTTGTCTGAGTGAAGAGTTTTGACCCTGGAACCTCACATTCATTCGCTAGTTTTATTGTTACACAGCAAGCTCGGCGTAAGTACTCAGACCAAACTTTATTATTATAAAACCAACATAAACACCACTTGACCAGAAGCAATATGGCTGAAGAGCTCAATAAAGGGAAGATTTAACCTAATAGAAAATGCTGAATAAGTAAGAGGTACTTTGTCATTAAGTTTTATGAGAATAACCTTATTTCCAACAGGAAATGGGGCTTCCTGCTACCAATTGGAAATATAATAAAGAAGATGATTATGTCTCTGCTTGTGGAATGACTGTTACAGTGGCTTCACCTTAATTCTTTTGTCTGTCTGACTTTCTGCCTCTCATTACTTCTCTCTGTCCTTCAGCCTCTCTGTGCAGCAGTGTCAGCCCCTATCATGAGGTGATGCGGATGGAAAGGCGTCTTCGCTCCTCATCGGAGGGGGCTGGTGGGCCTCGTATCCATGGAAACCACAGAGATGCCCCGGGCATGGAGGGATGTGGTCTGCTGAAACACAGAAACAACTCTTCCTCATCCAAAATGGGAAGTCTGGTAGGTCCTGAGCTGTGTGTGTGGGATATTATCAGTGAGTGTAAAGCCCCCAGATTATATCATGAAGACTCTTGTGAGTGCGTTTGAAGTTTATCATGTAACTATAGTTTACTGACTTTAAGCTCTATTATCATTATATCGCACTTAAGCACGACACTGTTTCATACATACACCACTAGTGTAGTGGAGTATGTATGAAACAGTGTCGTGTGTGTAACCATTTACATTCTAATTAAATGTTTAGATAACCAGACCTCAGACACACACATACACACATGCAATTAGTGTGACTAAATAGCATAGTGTGTGCCACTTCCTCTTCTGTACATCCCCGCAGGAAGGCACAGGAAGTTTATTTATTCAGAAGCTTTTTTAACACAGAGGCAAAGAACTGTGCTACAACATTTCAAAACATAACGAAGAGGAAAATACAATCAATCAATGAGGGTAGAAAAACGAGTCATAAAAAGACAAAACATGACTTAATAGGAATATACTGCTGTGCATTTGCAGGGCAGTAATAAATTGTCTCAAATTTAATAAAGGAAATAAAAGTACAAGACAGAGGAAACAAGAGAGAAGAAAATAATTGTGCTGTCTACATCAACCAATGGTTTCTTAGTCCTGATGATGCCCTTTAAAAGTTACCTGGAGTTTGGTACCGGTAGTCAACAGTTCCTTTTTTCGGTAATTTACTCTCTCTGTACTAACAAAACATGTCATGTTACAAATATTGCAGCGAGCATTGTCTGTAAGTGTAACCACACTTGCGACAGCTTTTGGCTTGCCATTACCCTGAGTCACTCTGGCTTGAACAAGCTGCTCTCTCTTTTTACTGTTTCTACCAAACAGTGCGGTACGGTATGGTTCAGTTTGGTACGCTTTTTTTCCGTTTCCACAGTAAATAGTTGTGGATGGTACCAATGGAATCATTCTGCACTGTCCTCATTTTTGGTTCCCCCTCTGTTGGGGTACCTAGCACACAGATCTGGTACTAAAAGGTGGAGCTGTGAACACTGCATACTGTCGATTGGTCAAAAGCAGACGGTCACTCTGCTCAGAGCTGAGTTGTGGCTAGTTTTGAGGCTATTCATACCATGGAGAGTTTTATTAGTGAACTGTAACTATAAAATTGAAAAATGTTTTGCTGCCTCTCACAGCAGTTGTAGTCTGAGAAAAATAATTTATTTCACTGAGCCGACAGCTGGCAACTTTTAAGGTGGAACGTTAACTTGTAATGTTACTCAATGCATGAATTGATAACATGAAACAGTCAACACACCTTAGATTTCACTTAAACCACTTTGACCATTACTTCAGTTTTTATATGACATGCACTTTTAGTAATGAGTGGATCTTCACGCATTTATATTTAAAGTAATTTCGACCGAGTTATGTGACCAGTATATATTCTAATCCTCACTCTGACAAAAAAAGGAGCATTGCGGAGCGTTGTTCCTTTGGGTTGTGGCAATATTTAAACCCCTGAGCTTGCCTGAGAAGGACTAAATGCACAAGCCTGCTATTTTTAAATATCACGTGGAGAGAGACTCTCACTCCAGACTATTTTATTTTGTTCTGAAAATGTCGGCATGCAGCCTCGCTCTGTGGATGATTAACAAGGTGCAGACTTCCATCTGTGTCACTGGTAATGAGGAAATACAGTGAGTGCTGGACGGAGCAGTGAGTGACAACAACCCCACCCACACTTTAAAACACTAGGGTCTAGGTGCCAGGTCTGAAGGGTTAATTTTGGTTCCAAAGGTACCATATTGAAAGTGTTTGGTGGAAACAGGGCTTAAGTTTCTTCTCTCACCCAGATGTGTTCTCATGTACCGCAATTTGGCGAGATTGATACACAACCCTACATGACACTGGACAGTGTCTGCTATGGGTGTGGTGTGGAGCTGAATAGTGACGAAAACAACGCGCTGCATATTGCATTTTATACAGTAACTCTAGATGTGGGAACTGTGTAAAATAACACAAATATTTGATATGTCAGTAAACCTAAATCCGACTTCACCACTATTTGCCCTTAGCAATATATTTGGGTTGCTGTGTACTCTCACTTACAACCCTGCATATCCAGGAATTGGTAAACTTGCCACTGGATTATCAAATTGCCAGTGCATCATTACAGGAAGAGCCCCGGGGATGAAAAGAGGAAATGTAATTGGCCACAATTGTAACCAGCTGCTAACACACTCCTTTGTAATATACCGTGTGATAGGAGATCCTCTCTAATCTCAGCCAGTGCCCGTGCCTCTGGTCATACAAATACCAAAAGTGTTCCAGCACATGCTGGGCAAAACCAGACATAGTGCACAGCTTTGATACACAGACGCTGTGCTTTGTGTTTTCACTCACTTTGAATTAAAAACTACAAAACAAACGCATATTTGCTGAAAGGGGTTCTTTGGAATAATTTTTGCTAGTTTACCTTTAGAGTGAGGACAAAAGATGGTATGCTGGTGGTATTTGAGGATCCTGGTAATCTCAGAAATCTCTGTGACTTCTCTTTAATTTCTTTTGTGATGTACATGTTATTTACTGGAATGGAAATGGAGCCAAGTAAGAAATCTCACACTCTAAGTGATGATCTGAAGTGTTGTACTGACTTTGCCATGACAAACTGGCACCTCAGGCCTAAATGTGTCACTCAGTACAGATATTCAACAGCTTGAGTCAAGCATAAAAATCTGTAAATAAATAATATTGTATGTGTGTGCACATGAATTTGAAAAACACAATAAAAGTCTGGTTTCTTACATTTAAAGCTATTTAAGGCAAAGCCCTGACATTACGTTTGGTGCTAGTGTGAATGGATAAAGTACTTTGAAAAACTTCTTCAGTCATCTGTAGGATTTAGGCATTATATCCAGTTTGTTAGCTCTGGCTGTCTAACAAACATTGCACCCGTCTTTGTTGACACATGCTGCAGCTATATCCACATTTCTTTCTGGGGACAGGCTATAGCTGCTATTGTGTATGGGTTGGTTTTCTTACAACAAACACGGTGAAGCCCTGTGGGAGGAAAGCTAGTTTAAGTCAATCCCATTTATTTTACCAGGGACTATCGGCTTTTACGAAGAGATTAAAAAGGGCAGGGATATACACAGCACGTTGCTACGCACTCTACAGACTGCATCGGCTTCTTGACACACACTTCACCAAACGTGGAGTAATCTCCTCCTTTTCTTTCCTCCTGCCTATGAAGGGCCCTTCAGGGGCCTAAGTTGTGCAGAAAGTGCAAGAGCCTTGGAGTGTATATTAAATTATGTACCACCACTTTTCCTCTTACTTTTAGCTTGATAGAAGTTTGTTGGCTGGCAGAGGGTACTTGTGAGGCTTATGAAAAAGTCTGGACCGAGACACCTGAGACGCCTTCTTCTAAGTAAATACATAACTAAAGCCGGCGAGGGTGTGAATAAAAGGAATAGAAAAAGGTCTGTTCATTGTTTAAGCATACACAATGTGGCTGACTGTGGTGTTTATGTGTGAAGGAGGCCTGTGGGACATTGCACCAGTTCAGGGCAAAACAGAGACAGAATAAAGCACACCATACTAAACAGTATGCTAGGTGGATGTGCTTTATTGTTGCTGTTTCATTACAGCCCAGACAGAATCTAATTATCATAAAACAAATAAAGATTTGATTTGCAGTGACAAATGACTAATTTGTTGAATTCAAATAAACTGTGAGGTGCCTCTGCAAAGCCAAGCAAGGCTGTGTTTGCTCGAGATATTTGGTGATCTCATTCCAGTTGTTATTGTTATTTTGATATCCCTTTGGGATGCTGCGAAATATTTATTTTACCAGCATATACACTGCTGGTTGCCTCATAAGTCTCTCAATGACAGCTGTGATAAGATTTTGGCAGGCTGACAGTGATTACGTTCAATTTCAGTTGACAAAAAGAATAACTTACGAAATTCTCTCTCATGTCAGAGAGAAGCTGAACAACTTTGAACATGCTCTTTTGTTTGTAGTTTGATTGACATATACGGCAGAATAGTTCAACTGCAATCCACTCGTCTTTGACTGTTACTTATGCACATCAACAGTTGTTTGGCAGCTTGCTTGCTAGACAGTGTTGTAACGCAGGCTGTCTCTTGTTTTCATATCCTCCAGTCTGATTGCTTCCTTGTAAGGGCTAGATATCATAAGTGACACTTGTATTAATCATTGAGCAGATAAGGATCCACTTCCTCTCCCAGACAGAATTTCTAATAACCACCAGACGGTTGCATCTCGAAATGAAAAACAATGAGTATGTTTATATAATATGGGTGTTAAGTGCTCACTTTGCCCAAAGACATCATATAAAAGCAGTAACAATTATCATACACACATAAAATCAAATCAACATTTAAATCATTTTTCTCCCAGGCTACGTTTCTTAATCACAGCTGGTCATACACAGTAGAGCTCCAGAAGCAGTGGTTGATAAAGAAAATGGATTCATCTCATGACTAATGCAAAACCATTTATAGTTATTAGCACCAATGGTTCAACAACAGCACTAGTAGGACTATTATGTGATTAAATTATGAATCAGTACTTTTTAGAAATTAAAGTTGCAGTAGGTTACCCTTTAAGCAAATATGACAAAAAGTTATTTTTTACAACTGTCACAATATCCTGACGGCGGTACATGAGGCAGATAATCAAGCTCCTCTACCTCCTCAGAGTGCTCAATCACGAGAACTACCAATAAGAGCAGAGGAGTCTCTAACGCAGCTGTCAAACTAGGCAGCATTGATCAAATTTGAACCAAGATTGTGTTACTGCATTGTGTATTTCTTGCCTCAAATGTTTTCAGAAACATATTTAAGTGTACTGTTTAGCTGTAACATGAGAACGTTTGCCCCAGCTGGTGAGGGGGGTTTCATTACGGCTTGACTGTTTCCAACATGGCAGCCAGGTCGCAAATTTTTCTCATTTTACAGCTAAACAGTACACTAAAATACGTTTCTGAAAACATTTGAGGTGAGAA